GCCATAAAAGAAAACAAAATTGCCACACAAAAGTATATATTTATATAAAGTAGACATCACGGGCTATTTACCTAAGGTTGTTTTGACACTTTCTACGTAGCCATATTACCGCCAACCTCTGCTAAATATTGGAGTAAAATTGTGTTCTTTTTGGTTTTTGGCACACAAACTTATAACAGAGAAATTCTCGTGTATATTTTGTAAAGTTGGTGTGTGCTATTCCTGTACAAAGTTTTATTTTGTGTTCAGTTACATCTGCTGAGTAAAATGACACCCCATTGTATGTCTTTTGCACTATTTCGTGAAGTTACAGTGCCATACAGGATACCTGTCCTTTTCAGTATTCACAGTAGAATTTTGAGAGATGGATTTAATGAGCCTTAGCTTCCATTTGGGGTATTATAACAGTTTGACTGTTCAAAAACCCCCACAAAGGCCTACCATTTGTAAAAGTAGACACTCCAGGGTATCTCATAAGGTGCATATTGTGCCTTAACATACCCCCATTTTTTCACCAATATATGCCAAAGTATGTGGTAAAAAAATTATTTTGTGCATTTTTTACATACGGATTGCATTTTTGCTGGGCGTTTTGTATATTTCATATGTGCCACTAAGTTCAAACCTCCCAAATTATGCTCAGCTAAGTCTTTGGAGTAAAAATACACCCCCAATGAATGTCTTTGTCACTATTTTGTGAAGCTACAGTGCCATATAGGAGACCAAGCCATATCCGTTTTTACCAAACTTTGAATTTTGACGCTGGGCCTATGTGCAATTTCCAAGCATCTTCGCAGGTTTTAAATTCAAACTACCCCACAAAGGCCTACCATTTCTTAAAGTAGACACCCCAGGGTGTTTCAAAAGGTATAGTTTGAACCTTAGCGTGGGATCATTTTTCCGCTAGCTTGTACCAGATGTAGTGGTAATAAGCGTTTTTTCTGCCTTTTTGACATACAAAGTGAGTTTGCACAGTATATTTTGCAAACCTTATGTGTGCTACGACTGTATAATACTTCATATGTTGCTCAGCTATGTCGGCTGAGTACAGCAATACCCCCGTATGTACCTTTGCCAGGTATGTGTGGACATCGGAGGGGCACATTTGGGACACAGCCATTCCAGTTTTTTTCAAACTTTGAATTTTTATGCTGTGCCTATGTCCCATTTTAGAGTATTTTACCAGGCTATATAATCCAAATTCCCCATAAAGCCATACCATTTCTTAAAGAAGACATCCCAGGGTATTTCAAAAGGCATATTTTGAACCTTAGTGTGGGATCATTTTTCCGCTAGCTTGTACCAAGTGTAGTGGTAATAAGCATTTTTTCTGCCTTTTTGACATACAAAGTGAGTTTGCGCAGCATATTTTGCAAACCTTATGTGTACTATGACTGTATAATACTTCATATGTTGCTCAGCTATGTCGGCTGAGTACAGCAATACCCCCGTATGTACCTTTGCCAGGTATATGTGGATGTTGAAGGGGCGCATTTGAGACGCAGCCATTCAGTTTTTTTCTAACTTTGAAGTTTTACGCTGTGTCCATGTTCCAATTTGGAATAGTTTAGACGGTTGGTTATTGAAACTTCCCCACAAACACATACTATTTATTAAAGAATACACCCTGGGGTAATTCAAAAGGCATATTTTGAACCTTGGCGTGGGATAATTTTTTCTCTAGTTTGTTCCAGGTGTAGTGGTAATGAGCGTTTTTAAAATGTATTTTTTTACTTTTTATAACTTTTTTACTTTTAAAAACTAGTTTTTAAACTTTTGTTTTGCTTATAAATTTTTTTTAAACTTTCCTAAACTTTCTTAAAACTTTTTTACAGATTTAACATTTTTCTAAGCTATTTTTTTTACTGTTAACCCCTAACTAGCAGTACGCAGCACTAACAGTAAATTCCCCATTTTCCCATAACTCCCACCCACCCCAGCTAGCAAAATATATAGTTATAAAATATTTAAATTAATTAATTAAATAAATTGAACCCCTGAGGGTTAAAAAAATAAATAAAAGTTAATCCTCAGGGGTTAAAAAAAATTAGATCACAGTATAATACTGTGATCTCTATTTGATCGCTGTAGGCAGTGATCGACTGGCAGGGAAGGGGTTAATTTTTATTTGGACTAGGTAAAGTGTGTTTTTTTGTTTTTATTACTTAAATGTTATTAAAACATTTTTTAAGCTTAATTTTTAACTTTTTAAAGTTTCTTTTAAAACTTTTTTTTAACGTTAACCCCTAGTTAGCCTAACGCCAAATCCCCCAATTCCCCACTAACTTCCACCTACCCCAGCTATCTAAATATATAATTTAAAAATAATTTAATTAATTAATTTAATTAATTTAACCCCTGAGGGTTAATTGAATTAACCCTCAGGGTTAAAAAAAAAAATCAGATCATAGTAAAATGTAATCCCTGCCAATTGATCACTGTAGTCAGTGATCAATTGGCAGGGAAGGGGTTAATTTTTTATTAAAATGGGTAAGGGGGGGGACACTTTAAATAAACTTTATTTTTTTTAACAGCAGGGGGCAGGATCAGCACTGATCCGGCTCCCTGCACTTCACACAGAACCCGGAAGTGCAGGGAGCCGGTAGGTGAGTATACAGAGCACATGTGCTCGCTCGACTTGCGGTCAGAGCGAGCACATGTGCTGGGCAGCTTGACCGGGTGCTCCCGGTATGCCTCTAATGCAGAGGCATACCGGGAGCACCATTAACCCCGCGATCGCTGCGATAGCGGCGATCCGGGGTTAATTTTACCGCGTGACGGACGAGGTCCGTCACCCGTCGTTAAGGGTCTCCCCTGCGTGACGGACCTCGTCCGTCACCCGTCCTGAAGGGGTTAATATACACATATATAATTTTTTTTTAAATTAACATTAACTTTTTTTATTGTTTATTTTACACATGCAGGGAGATTGCCTGTCAGCACAGGCAGTCCCCCTGCAGGCTGACACATGGACACCTATTGTGACCATGTGATCTCTCTGTTGAGCGATCACATGGACACAGGGGTTCTAATCCGCCATGGGTAGACTGTCTGGGCTGCAGGCTGTCTCCCCACAATGGGAGCACCGCCAATCGCCGCTGGGGGAACAACAGTGATCGGGTAAGTACATCTTACCGTTAAGACGGTTCTGGACCGTCATCGGTCGGCAATGCAAAAATGGTCCTGAACTGTCCTCGGTCCTTAAGGGGTTAAAGTAAATAAGTTACATTCGTATTGTTTGTAAACTAAATAAAAGACCATGGCCTTTTCAGCACACATCTGAGTATGTGTTTTATTATTATGTTTCTGTGCCTTACTATGTATTACTTACACCCGTTGGTGTTGGTCTGAATTAACCCCTGCTAAGCACATGAGAAACATATGTTTGAAATGCCCAAGGCCTGCTATGATGGAGGAGGGAGATCAGCACCAGCAGCTTTATCCAGTGCTGGATTTCAGGTAAGTGTTAACACTTTTTTCACAATTTAAGAGGGTGGGATATCTAGCTAGCAATGTCCAATAGGGCATTATGGGTAAAAATACCACAAGAGTCATAGATTGGAGTAACCCTTTAATAATAATACACCTGCCGGCAATTATATTTTCTCTGTGTTTCTCGCTCTTCAGTAGGATGTAATAAAGGGTTGTTTAGCACAGCATAAATATGTACCAACCTTCTGGCAATCTAATGACACAATTGTTCATAAAATGTGCACAAAGATTTTGCGCTCTTCCTTTATGTAATTTAACATCTTAGATTTTGTTCTGGATATGACTATGTGGACTTTAGCATGTTTAAATGAGTGCATATCAGCTGGAACAACTTGACTAAAGTACTGGAGATAGTTCCAAAATCAAGGCTTAGGAGCATCCACTTTTGCTTGTAAAAGCGGAGCCAGTGAGGACATTAACTGCAAGGATGATGTTACATAAAGGACCCATTTTCATTGCTGAAGTATGAACAAGGAAATCATTTGTAGCTTTTTTTCCTTAGTAACAGCTTTGCAAGTTTACTTTCATGAAACAGGTGAAATATGTTTAACAATAAAACTAGGTCATTAGTGTCAATAGAAAAAATGAAAGCAATTACTAAAATAAGGAATTGTATCAAACACAAGTGATTGATATGTATTCAAGCAAAATTAATAAAATGACATTTCGAAACAATGAGGTTGTTTATATTGTGCAGTTAAAAATAGATTGCAGTGTCTGTCAAGTGACACTTTTAGTATACATGTTTTTTTTAATCCAATATTGCCATCTAGTGGAATTTACATAGCATATTATATTATAACTCTCAACATAAAGGTCCCTTGCTTAGTGAACTACTATTAGTTCCCAGGGTACCAAGTAACTAAGAAACATGATGAAATACCTTCATAGATTGCAGTTAAGAACTGTTATAACTATGGCCTCATTTTAACAATAGTGTTAATATAGAATATATGCTATATAATCATTGACTATTTAGTATTGTATAATTAAAGTATTAATTTGCACTTGAGAGTATGTATAGCACTTTATATGTTGTTTTAATATATTGCACTTTAATATTTATTGCTTTATTGCACTGTAGTTACTGCATTAATCACTTTATTTTTCAACACAGTCTAGCTCTCAATTAACTTATTGAGCAGTTTAATAATCTACTTTGCACTAGATGGTGTATTTAAATCACCTTTTGCTATCTTATGTAAAATCAGTTGTACTATATATGGTATATATTAATGGTCGTTTCCTGTAATTATAGGGTTATGTGGACTATTAGGAGTCGTGTATATTTTTTGTAAAATCAGTCCCTTTAATGCTTTAATAGCATGTATATGTATATGTATATGTATTAGAATAGGAGGACACCCCATAATCAATACTAGGATCACAGTTAATAACTTAAAATTCAAGATGGGTGGGGGATATCCCGGTCCCTATTGGGTACACTTACATTCCTGCAGTGCTGGACCCCAATCCCATTGAATCAGAGACAGTATGGGGCAACTAAGATGGCTGCCCTGGTGGAAGCTCCACAGCCACAAACAAGCATGGCAGTCCAGACATGGCAAGAAATCTTCTACAACAAATTCAACAAGATTTGCCAAGAGTTCTGCCCCCAACACCCTCTCTGCTATGCAGTTTTGGAGAACTTGATAGCTGCGACGACTCCTCCATCTACATCCAGACAGAAGTTCCTATTGAAGCCCTGTCAAGCAAACCATCCAGCTGCACAGAGGGGTTCCCGGAATACGCCTCGCCCTGGCTCCCGTCACACACCAGAACGGAGACAAAGGCACTGGCGAACACCACAGCTCATGCACAACCGCAGCAGCCGAGGACCAATGCAGATCCGAAGCTACAGAACACTGATTGATACATGCTGCCAACGTGCCCCAGCTTGGAGCTCCATGAAGGGCAGACTTCTCAAGCACAAACTGCACAATCAGAGAGTCCCCCCTCGGCTAGGCTTACCGAGTGCACTGGGGTGGTTCCAGAGGCTCGATCCTGTGGCTAGCTATTGCTGGACTCATAAAGACACGCAGCAGGGACACAGCCATATCTGGGGTTGGTGGGGTCCTCCTCCACAACTTGACATATGCAGGCTTACAGTATATTTCCCAACCTTAGGAGTAGGTTAGATGAAAACAGGCTTACATGGGTAGCACTCAAATAATCCCGACCAATCATCTTTTTGGAACCCCCTATGGTCTGCTGCTTACTATCTGACCCATTGATACTACCACATCTACCTAGTCTTACAACTCATACATGAGTCAGTTCTCTACGAGTATACACCTTGCTTGCCTTAGGTCGATATCAATACTTTAACCCAGTGGTTCCCACATTTCCCACACTTCTTCCTGTACTTCATGTTTCCTGCCTTGACATGTTAGATGTCTTGTTCATTGTTTTATTTACAAAAATGTGCTTTGTAACGGATCACCTGGCACCCCGACTGGGTGATGTGACGAGACCAATCTCGCCACATTGCATTGGAGAAGCCTGGTTGCTCGCCTGCTGCCTCTGGACTATGGCCCCCTTTTAAAAGACTTTATTTCGCCTGCAGAAAAGCTATATTCGTGCTTTTCTGCCGGTTGTTCGGTAGATTCAATCTACCGAACAACCGCACAAATGAATAGACCACCTGGGAGCTGGAGTGTGCAGGCAATTAACCTCCCTGAAGCTGCGGTTAACCGCAGCTTAATTGACGAATTCTGGGTGGCCGCCATTCGTATCCCGAACATAAGGTCGCGGCCATTTTAAACATACGAATGCACAGCGGTGTTCGCCCCTATTTTCATGGAACTAAAATCGGACACAGTTTTGCGCGAACACCGCTGAAGCCACCGACCTCCCTTCTTGTTCGGTGGAAGTGCACGAACGGCCCGGTGTTCGGTAGTTTTGTTTGAATGTGTTATACCCCAGATAGGAATCCCATGGAGCCCATTCGTATGAAACTGACTGTAAAGACTTTGGCTCCATGGCGATTAAACTGTATTCGTGTGGTCTGAGCGCCATTCGCTTAATAATGTGCGCTCAGACCTGAGCTATCTGGGGATATGTTACATGTCTGTGTTTTATGTAATAAATGTTACTTTATGTATTTTAAAGTATAATACTGGTTTTGTGTCCCCACGTGTGTAATGGAGTTTTGCCTTTGTCCTGGGAGATAATTGAATTACTTCTCCAGGGCAGAGGGGAGGAAGCCAGGATGCATTGTGGGGATGTTTTACTTCTGTATGTCTGTAATTGGTACATGTCTGTCTTTTGTTACAGTCTTCCATCTGGTCCCCTAGGGGAGTGTCCACCAGGTGGGAGACCTGCATAAATATTGGGCAGGTAGCCCTCATTAAACAGACCACTGCTTGACCCTCAACACAGAGCCTTGTCTCGTTCTTGGGGGGGATTCACTGAATGCTGATAGAGACTGATTGCTAGGAGTGTAAGCCGCTTGGATGCTTTTTCTATTCGTCTGGTAGCAGCAATTCGTATGGTTCCTGTTCGTGTATTTGGAGTGCTATATTGGATGCCGTTCGGGTGTTTGGAGCATTCCCTTGTATGCAGTTCGAGTGTTTGGAGCATTCCCTTGTATGCAGTTCGGGTGTTTGGTGCATTCACTTGTATTCAATTCGTGAGTTTTGGTGATTCTACAGTAGCTGTGCCTGTCTCTGAAAGGGGATTATCGTCTAAGCGGTTTTTACCCCTTTTGTGCAAAACGGTCCGTTACAGGTACCTCCGTTGAAGGATGCTCCTAGCGCTTCCTGAGGACTCCAAGCACTGCAGCAGACACCACAACCACCGAACCGGAGAAGAATATGAATGCTCTCAAGCATGTGAATGCTGTAAGCAGCTGAACAGGAAAAGCATACAATCAGCTTACACTCCTGGCAATCACCATACAATCCAATTCCGCCAATAACGAGATGACACTTCGTTTTGAGGTCAAGCAGAACTGACTGTACTGGCACATACAGCCTCTTTTATTCACAATCCACAAACATAGTACTGCCCACAGGGTTTTTGAAAACAACCAATAAACATGTACAATAGTCACTGATAGTGACAGCTCTTTGGATCTCAAATTGAGAGTTGACAGCAACAGATTCCAAATGCAAATAGCACACTTAAAATGAACTCTGGACCTTTTATCTGCTCCTTGTAAATGGGATAATGAGGGAATAACACACACCTGGCCATGGAACAGCTGAGCAGCCAATTGTCCCATTACTTTTGGTCCCTTGAAAAGTGGGAGGCACATATACAAACTGTTGTAATTCCTACATCATTCACCTGATTTGGATGTAAATACCCTCAAATTAAAGCTGAAAGTCTGCAGTTAAAGCACATCTTGTTCATTTTCATTTCAAATCCATTGTGTTGATGTCCTAATATTTATGGACCTGACTGTATATGCATATCGAGGCATATACTTCAGTAAAATAGTGAGGGCTGCACTCACCTGAACATAAATACTTGTAAGGGTGCCGATGCGGCCAAATTCATACAACATACAATATCCAGCACACTCGCTCATTCGCTAAATAGCAACTTAAAGTCTAACAGAATGTAATAGTTTTATCCAAATACACCTCACCAAGGAAAAAAAATAATTGGGGTTTAGTTACAGTATATGATCATACATTGCATAAGCCTGACACAACCTCAAAGCACCCCATTCTTGGTGGGACCTACTCTAGCAAGCTAATGCCAGCTCTTATGAGATTAATCCTGGAACTTTCTACAAGTCAAGCTAAATAGGGCCCTGGAATGTGACAGGGAGGGGTGCAAAACCGGGGGGGCTGACGAAGGTGCACATGCTTTGCACCGAAATGCGCGTCAGACATTTCGTTTTTTTTAACGGGCACTTAACTGCATGCGGTTTACACTTGGTGATCTGAGCCTAGCGGCTTGCAAGATGGTTATTAGTTAATTTCTGTTTACTTCTATCTTATTTCTCTAGAGAGAGACTTTTCTACTTGTATCTGTCGACTACTATACCACTATATGCTTTGTGGATAGGCGTACAAATTAATTTTGTGGACACTGGTTGCCGCCTAAGATGTGGGGGTAACTAAAGTCACTTCCACTGAATATCCCCCACCAACATACCTTAAATATACATATGTATACACCTATGATTTACATTCTTGACACTAGGATCCTCTGACTCCCTAACTGAGGACTTTAAGTGGATATTGAAGTACTGTGTGGGCACATTTACGCTGATCTAACTACTTCTCCCCTCTTATTACTACCTCCACTTTGGCAATACACAATAAAGCCAAAGAGTGGAGGCTGGTGCTAGAATTACCACTTTCCAACACAGGTTTGGACTGGATTCTAGCAATAGGTAGAGGTTTAGCCTTATCAGGCTCTAAATTTTAGGACCTTAGGCTATCTTGTTATTCAGCACTTGTTACATTCATTTATAAGAATACTGTTAGTATTCCAGGTGACATTTCCTCTCAGCATGCTTTGAGGAGTATTGTTGCTTTGTTTTATATAGTTCTGTCTAATAGGCTCTGATCTGAACGGGTGTTGAATTGAGGCAAAAAAAGATTAGTCAAAGTCATAGAATGTATAACCACCGTATTTAAGCCCCAGGTCCACCATTTATGTAAATTAGAGATCTAGGTCTTCCCTATAGTGTGGGCCGTGTAACAAATTATGTCTCTATATATACCAAAGAATGAATTTTGGTACAGTCAGTTTGTTCAGTTTGGGGTCCCTAGCTTTCAAAACTACTGACAAGTATCCGTAGCAGTATGAAAAAAAATACAAACTAATGGATGGGAAAACACACCCAAAAGACTGGTGTGATATCCCACTAGAGTTTAAGTGAGGAAACCTGAACTGGTCAACCACTATCTCACTGAAAAGAGAGTAGCTACCACCTGATGCTATAGATAGAGAATATACATGTAAGTTTCTACTGAAATAAATCAATAGTGTGATCAGGAATGTAGTGGAAATACAAAAATAGGAATAAGGGAATAGAATTGCACAATGGCTTGTAAAAAAAAATGTCTGATGAAGTGATCAGCCGATCATGAAATGTGTAAGGCAGGCATCCTACATGAAGCGCTCAGGAGACAGCCAAGTGGAATGCATCCCAAGCCGCAGTGGAATGCATGCGGCGAGTATCCAGTGTCTAACAACTCCCAGAGATCCTTACTTCTCCCGATCTGGCAGGCAGGAGGGTGCTATGATGATCTCCAGGTCTTAATGTTTTATTTATCTTTGACAGTGTTCATCTTTTTCTAAATACATTTTAAATAGAGAGCACCCTGTCCAGCGGCATACATACCGCGGTTGCAGGGGTCGCAGCTGCAACCGGGCCTGTCACTCCAGAGGGCCCAGATGCCCTGCGAACCCATGCGACCGACCGGGTACCAGCTGCCACCATCTTTTGCGGCTCCCGCCCGAGCGGCAAACCGCTCGGGCCGCATGTTAAGGGGTCCATTCGGTGGCCCGATGGAGACGGATTGTCAGGGGGCCCGGTCTGCACTGGACGCTTTAACAGTGTGCCCAGTGCTGACCGGGCCTCCTGTGATGATGTCAGACAGAGCTGGGAGGAAGTGACTGCACGTCACTCCTCCCAGCTATCTGACAGAGCCACGCGGGAGGAAGGAGGAGGGAGTCAGAGTGGGAACTCTGACTCCCATCAGGCTGAGCCCACACTGGACCCCAGGGAAGTCACCATCCTGCAAAAGGTAGTAAACAGGAGTGACTTAAACATTTTGTATGTGTATGTCTGTATGTATGTATGTATGTGTGTGTGTGTCTGTATGTATGTGTCTGTGTGTGTCTCTGTATGTCTGTGTGTGTGTCTCTGTATGTATGTGTCTATGTCATACAGACACATACATACAAAGACACGCACATACATACAGAGACACACACAGACACATACATACAGACACACACACATACATACAGACATGCATAGAGATGGACACACACATACATACAGACTGTATGTGTGTGTGTCTCTGTATGTATCTGTGTGTGTATGTATGTGTCTGTGTGTATGTCTGTCGGGGCTGTGTGTGTATGTGTGTGTCTGTCTGTATGTGTCTGTATGTATGTGCCTGTGTGTGTGTGTGTGTGTGTGTATGTGTCTGTCGGGGGGTGTATG